AAAGAAAGTGCAAATTTGAATTTCTTATACCTGTACCCAGCAACCTAAAGGTCTAAGGAGAATTTTATTTTGGTGTCTGAGTGAAAGAACTGTGTTCCATTAATTACTTTTTTTTGTCTGAAAAGCAAACCACATTAAGCTATAGATTTGTATAATCACGAGATTTATTCCTAGCCAAAAAAAAAATTACAGCTCCCCCACTCCCAGTCAGACAAAATATATACTCTTTACTTCTAAAAAGCAAGGGAAGAAAATTCACATTAATTCCAGGGTCTGTGTCATGGCACCCATCACTTCACCTACCATTTGCCAAGTTGCTTAAATAACTAGCTTACCCAAAACACATAACTTTCCTGGGCTTGGAGCATACATTTAAATATGAAAGACTTCATAGTGAAATTCAAAAACAATCAAACTAAATGAAGGGAAAAAAGTTGTAAGCCCCTGCTAGACCTAGTTCAGTACTCCACACTTGGATGAGAGCCAGCTCATGGGGCCTCTGTGGTCTGCTGTTTCCTTGTAAACATCCAGGGTGAGACATTATTCCTTGCAACACACCTGTAAGCTAAGAAGGACTTTGAAGAGGAAGAGAACAAAAAATAGACACTTGTTGGCAGAGTCTTACCATTTCCCCCAATTAGCCTCTCCCCTTCTGCCAAGTTTTCATGGATCCCTATTCTCAGAGGTGTCAACCACTACTCCCTCTCTCCATCCCAAAGGATTTCAAAAAGCCTGAATGGCATGAGGTTTCACCAGGTCCACAAACACTGCATCTAAAACTGGGTCTGGGTGGCCAGTGTGGTTTCAGGCTACCCTTTGAGAACCCTGGCACAGAACAAGGTCTCCTTTCACTTGACCCTCCTTTGCTAATACAATGCTGTTTGGCTGGGCCCAACACCCCATGGGGCACATTGTTCAGGCCAAGAATAGTCTTCATTCTTCCTGTGAAGCTTTGAAAGTCTTCTAAAGAACACAGGAAATTGTCAGTCCCTATTTTTTGTTGAAAATGGCTTACACTAAACTCTGAACATTCTATGGGTTAATCCCAAATCATGGGAACCAAGTCTGCTTGAAAAGCAGCAATATTTTCATTAGAGATGAGATACTGATAAACCAGCTCAGCATTACTTACTAAGAAGGACTTTTTTTTAACTCTTGTTACTAGCACTGTAGAAAACCTGCTCTTAACCAAAATCAGCTTATTTCTATGGTGTACCCTATTGTTGAAACATACCTCATTTAGTAATTCCAAAAAGGCTCTGTGTACAAAGCAGCATGTCTGGAGGCTTAGCATGGCAGCATGCAAACTTACCTAAAAGTAGGAGAAAACAATATTCTTGGTGTGTCATGGCCCTGGCATCACCACATCCATCAACATTCTGGGAGGGGGGTAAGGTGTTGAACTGTTTTCAGTTAAATTGCATTTCTTAAAATTCAAGAAGTTCTCTCAAGGTCCAGGCACCTTCGCATGCACAGTCACAGTGTAACCTGCATTCTGAACTAGCAAGGGAGGTGTGAGCCTTATCTTAGGGCTGAAGAGACAGATACTCAGAAACAGAAAGTAACATACCTAATTTACACCGATGGGGTTTGAACTGAGGTGATTAGTCAGTGTTTTGTGTTTTCTGGCACACACACCAGGGAGTCATATGGCATAAGACTGAGGCACACAGGTCCTGCCGTTGCCAAGACCAGTTCATACTCCAACTTCACCAGCTACCACCTCTTACTGGATAAGTCACTAACCACCTCCAAAGCTGTTTCCACATCTATGGAAAGGATGACACTGCTATCTAATAAGGATTAAATGAAGATAATGTACACAAACTATTTAGTTGACTGTCTGAGGTAGGGTAAATATCCTGAATGAAGTACACAAACTTTTCTTTTTATTTGCAAGCTATTTTTTAGAAAAGATTTCGATTTATCGGACAGACAATAATTTTTCCTTTTACATCAAGTAGGATACCATGGCAGGACTTCCTTAGGGATTCAACAGTAATATTAATGATCTACATACTACCGACTACCATATTAAACCAAGGGCTTCCAAAGTAGAGTATATTAGATAATTTACTGGGGCTTGGGAAGAGTGCTAAACTTTTTTTGAGTTTTAAAAATTGTTTCATAATGTTCATATTAACATGGTGCTTGCTTCAGTTGTGTCCAACCCTTTGTTGCCTCATGGACAACAGGCTGCCAGGCTTCTCTGTCTATGGGATTTCCCAGGTGAGATTACTGGAGTGGATCGCTATTTCCTCCTCCAGGGGATCTTCCCTACCCAGGGATCAAGTTCACGTCGCTTGGGTCTCCCGCACTGGCAGGTGGGTTCTTCACCACTAGCGCCACCTGGGAAGCCCTAACACAGTGCTACCTGTATATAATTTACTATATAGGTATAATCACACATACATGCTCAAAAATATTTTCACAAAGAAACAGTATCAGGTTTGGAGACAGTGATCTAAATGACTTGCTACGTCAACACTTTGCTATTGTTGCAATCTTACACTCTTTCCACCTTTTTGCTCACCTACTATGCCCTTACCTCCACATTCCTAGGTCTTTTTCCAAGAGGATAAAAGGTATGAAAGGTGCAAAGAGTCAGAATATGTGGGTGGTGGTGTGACACTAAGCTAATGAGTCTGAGAAGCACAGGTCTATATCGCCTTAGCTTTCAAAATTAGAACCTGCGCTCCACAGAAATAAGCCACAAGTCCAATGTGAACTTGACAAAAACAATAAGCTTTCACTCCCACTAGGTGGCAGCATGACTCCGCCATGCGATGTGCACCTGGATCAGGGCTTCTCTGGCCTCATTTAAACAGCACAGTGGTTAAAGAGTTACTCCAGTTTATTATAATAGCTCTCACAATGGAGACTAGGTACTGTCCATTTTGCTGTTTACAAGTTTGCTGTTTACAACTTCTGAAAGTTTTCACTAGGGTAATAGAATAAAGGTGACTTTACAAAGTTATCACAATGCATATAGAATTTTTAAATGGCACCTATGAGAACTTGTTTCTAGAAGCAATAGTACTTACCAGTTAGACAGGTGGTCAATATACACTTTCTGATTTTGCAGTCTCCAAATTCAGTAAGTTATTTTTCCTAAAACCAAACTTTTCTGGTTAGGGGCATTAACCAAATCTCTATTGTAAGAACCAAACCAAACAAAAAATATCTCTGCATATTTATGTACAGTTATTTCTGAATATCTGATTCTGGTCTTGGAGTAACAGCCAATTAAAAAAAAACACACATAGCAGAAAGCACTATATTTTCAAAGACAATCTTTAAGTAGTGATGGCCAACAAGTAAGGATAAATTGTTACTGAAGTAATCTTAAATCATGTTTTCAATGCCTCATAAGATCTGCTTTGAAAATAGTATCACAGAATGAACTTACATGTGAAGTCAAGATTCTGTAAAGTGGATGATCTTCCTAATATACTCTATACTTTCTATCTATGTATCTCTGAAAAGCAACAAGGATCTTTTAAGAATCCTGTTTTATTTAAACCTTCACTTTCTAAAGTCAACAAAAATATTGGGTAATCATCATAATCAGTTACTTCCTTCTGACAGGATCATCAAAAGATACAGTGAAACTTTTTAAAGTTACAAACTATGTTGCATTAATCATTAAAATATCACAAAGCATTTTGTTAAAATCTCTTATCATTTGACTTTAGTGAAAAGAAATTATACCACTCTCTTTTCCAGTTAAAAAATTTCAGTCCAAGGACTTGAGACTTCACCTGGTGAGTTGAAATTTGTTCTCAGAGAATTGTGTTAATAGGAGACAGTAACAAGTAGATAGATAACATTCCATATATTAGAAAATCAGCACAAACGCATTCTAAATGAAACAAACAAAGAGTTACAATCATGAAGGCAAATTCAAATTGGAAAGTTTCTTCCCAAACACATTCTAGTCTTTTCTATCAACTGCAGAATATTTAAGACCCCACACTCAATTACATCACAACATTGTTTATTATGTGAATTTTTTACAATACAAACAAAAAATACAGAAATGCAATATATGAATACAGCTAAATGCAGAATGGTGACTTTTTTTTCTTTTCAAGAGGCCATGATTCCCATTTCTAGTAAAATTAAAGAGACTGCACATAGGTAGAAATAGGTTGGTTGTTAGCTTCACAATTTTGCCTAGAAATGATCTATAAATGCATTTTCCCCCCTGCTACTTACCATAAAGTGTAAAAAGGGAATTAAAGGAAAGTTTCCTTGTTGGTTCCTATCATATGAAAGATGCTATATTCTATTTTTTAGCAGGGCCAATATATGGAAAATACCTAAATTAAATGTTATTACAAAAACGAAGCAGTAATGAGATTCTGGCTAAAGAGGGTACTAAATGAGAATAATATATATTTCAAGAATTCAAAACAAACAAACAAAAAAAAGTTGTTATAAAAAAGCTCTAGGTGCATTGTAAGCATATAGGTTTTTTTTTCCATGTGTATTTTTAAACAATGGAAGTGTCAAAAAATAGGGTCCACTGTGTTAGACTAAATTACATTATTGTATACGCTGCATTGAATGGAACCTCTGTATTATAATTATCATAAAGAAGCATAGTTTGCATCATATTATGGCAATTTATCCTCAATGAAACCTTTCAGAGTCCTTTTATTTTGGAATATCCTGTAAACAATCAAACCACCAGAACATGATTGTACAACAGTAAAATGTTTTCTTGCATTAAAATGAAGACATCTGTTTAATAAAAAAAAGAAAATGTAGGAAAGGTACTTAGAGCTGTTAGTTTCTAAGTACACAACAACCCTAGACAATTCAAGGCATCTTAATCTCCATCAAGAACAAAAAAATAATAGTAATAATTTTTGTCATGCTGTTAAATCCATCATTAAGGATAAAACCGGTGCAAATTGGTCAAACGGATCCAACAAACACTGATGTCCAAGCTGGCATATTGGCAACTAATACGTAACTGGTGGTCAATAGAGGGTTTAAAAGATCTTCCCTTTCTTCTTGTTCTTTTCCAAGGTTCTAAATGAGTGAACGAAAACAATCAAAATGAGTAACTACTTTATAAACATAGATAACATATGATACCAATAGCTAAACCAACTAAAACTATGTTGGATTTTCAATTGTGTTACATTTTTATTTTAAAATTAGAAGATTTAGAAGTTAACAATAAGGACAATGCTAATCTATAATATTTTCTTGAACAAATATTTGACAAAATTCCAAGACAAACAGTAAGAAATATGACAAAAACCCATTTTTTTACACAAAAAAAATTTTTCCTAAAGGAAATAGTACAAATCAAAAAAGGTCAACTGACATCAAGTAAGATATCCTTTTCTCCTACAGCCATCTGCATTCTGAAATGCTTTTTTTTCACAGATAAATTTTCATCTTTCTTAAGGGAAAAGTTAATAGACGCATAGTGTTACAGAACAAATGTCTAAACCTGAAAACATTTAGCAGTGAGGGTAAACTGCAGAATCCTTACAGGGATGCAACTTTTCAGTTTTAAATGGGACTATTGAGGAAAAGAAGACCAAAGTACAAAGACTACCCGATTTTTGAGTAAATTAAGAGTAACTAGCTACATTAGAAACTAGGTATCTAAAACTTTATCTTAATGAAATAATCCAACACAATAAAAATATACCTCTAAATGTAAAGAGAACATTGCAGCAATGCTGTTTGCCAAAAACTACACACAACCATTATGTCCAATATTTGACAGGAAAAGGTAAACAACTAATTATGGTGAGTCACCTGAAGAGAATGTTGTGAAGGTACTAAATTATAATTATGAAGATTATTAAGTCAGGAAAATGTTTACAGTGGAAAAAATACTGTTATAATAGAGTGAATCAATCTATATAAAATATTCATCTGTGAAAATAATTTGTGCTTGGGATGTATGATAATGGACAATGTCTTAAATATTAATGTTTTTAAAATAAATAGGAAAATAATTATTTAAGCTAATACACATATTTCTTGGGAATCTGATATCAGATACCTTGAAGAGTTCTGTTGTTCTAAAATACGTTGTTGGGCTTCCCAGTTTGCTTTCTCATCTTCAAACTGACGACGCTTTTCCTCTAATTCTTTGTGCTGTGCTTCCAAATTCTTTTTCATTTGCTCATGGCGCCGTTGGAGCTAGTTCAGAGCACAATACATAAAATAAAACTGTCTGAGAAATCAGAAATACATTTCATCCGAGCAGTCTAATGTTAAAAGCTGAGCATTCAGTTCTTACGCTATAAATTCAGAGCACCACGTGGAAAGCACTGTCTAAAAGTCTTCTTTCTATAGGACTTACCACCCAAAATGCCAGTGACCAAAGAGAATAATCTTGGGAAACAAGGGGTTAAAAAAAAAAGTACAATAAGCTACAGTTGTGTAGTACTTTATAATGCGCATACTCATATCTTTATCATCTCATTATTCCTTACTCACAAACATGTAGGAAGCTGGGCAGAGGAGACACCACTGTTCCTACTCCTAGAGGAGCAAACAGTCGCAGCTGCAGTCTATGTCACTTGTCCAAAGTCATTAGCCAAAAGCAGCAGAACTAAGATCGGACCTGTCTCACAATTCCAAGTTTAAGAAAGCGAGACAAGTGAAAAGAAAGCAAATAGGTAAGAATGTAAGAGTTACAAGATGAGGAGATAAGGTCCCTGGATTCTTATAAAGCAGTAGTTCTCAAATGTCAGTCTTCGTATGAACCACCTAAATGCTTGTTAAAAATACAGAATCCTGGACCTAACCAGACATATTGAATTAGAATTTCTGGGTTTTTAAGTCTAGAAATCCACCCTTTCAACAAGCCCCCATGATTCTGAAACAGATGGTTCTTTCTCTATTGAGAATTAATGCTGAAAAGAATGCTGGCTGAAAGATAAAAAACACGCATGCAAAGTAACTGCAGAAACAAAGAATTTATCTAGTGGTTCATTACATAGTCCATTTAGGCACTAGTCAATCCATTTCTGTGGAAAACAATCACAGCAAAAAATAAACAAATAAATCTAACTAACTACATCGAATAACTTAACAACTATTTATTAAATAAAAACTTTCAGATGTCCAGGAATTATGTTCATTAAAGACTGTATTACATCAATGAGTTAACATCTTGAATTTGGATTATAATTTTGCATACAATCTGTTTTCTTCGTTACTTCATAAACCCACAAAAAGTGACTTCATATTCATTTCTATTCCAAATATTTCATGCAGTTCCTACAAAATGAAACCATCTAAGATATATTTAAGCAAACATGAATCAAATTTGAAGTAACATCTTCCTGATGATAGCAAACACATTACTAAGAAAATATCAGAAAATAGGAACACAGGGAAATGCCTTTAGTTATTAAAAAGAGAAAATGGAAGGGAATTATATACACACGATCCAGCATAGTTACTTCTGAGGAGGAGAGAGGGATACAATAGGGGAGAGAAACACAGCTGCCTCAAATGAACTGATGATGCCTTATTTTTTAAACGGAGCTGTACGTTTACAAGTGTTCATCATTCTTTATCTGTACCTTTCTATCACATACACATTTTCTTTTGTGTTAACTGCATGTAGGTTAAAAGTGCAGGTCACAATCCTTCACTTTCTAGAAATTCTTAGGGTTAGATGTATTACATAGTTCAGAATTTTTCAGATTTCTGAAAGCCAATTCCACTTAGAAAGGTCATTTACTGTATTTACAAACCAACACCTGGGCTGTCTAAGGTAGCATCTATAATCAAACACATTCTTGACTTTTGCAGCAAAGTATATAAATATTCACATCAAGTGGCGGTAAAACTGTTAGTTCTGTTTCTGACTTTGCAGTTTTCAGAGCTTTTAAAGATTTGAAATGGTGGATACATGACTGTAGACTTGTCTAGGATTAAGAGCACAGTTAGGTGCATTAAAATAATGACTAAGTCATGCAGCACTGACGAAGTCAATTTATCTTTCCTCTCATGTAAAAAATGGAAATGGGACAATAATATCCACCTTGTAGGGCTGTGGTGTGGACTCAACATGATCTATGAAAGATGCCTAGTACTCTGCCTAATACACTGTGCTGCAGGATATTAGCAGCTATGCCTCAAATAAATATATCTAGCACTTGAGAAAACAATATTATACAAGGTTAAATAGACTTCATATTTATATACTTATATGGCTCACAGAATTAGCGGAAACTTGGCCCACCTTGCTTTACAGTTTCTTTCAATGTTAATAAAGACTATTCTTCAAAGAGTAGTTAAGTGTCACAAAACTCTGTTTTCACCATTCACAGTAATCATAAAAACTCTCAAAAGGTTCTAAATCTACAGTATCATAATTGCTTATGACATTTACTCTTAGGAGGAGACCCTAAATTTTCTAAATTTAAATTCAACTCCTTTCAGATTTTCATCGAAACCTAAGTGTGGAAATAATACACACTCTTGATTATTCCTGTTTTTATTTACTTTCTGATAGGGATTTTCCAAATTACTTATTAACTGGTGAAGGGGCAGAGACTCAAATGGATAGATTTAATAAAAACCTAATTAATGAAACAAACTTAATCTCCTAAATGTCATCTTAATAACAGGTACCCAAGATACTAGTTCTGCAGAACTGGCAATCTTAAACCTGGAGGAGCTATTCTATATCCCCACTGAATTAAACACATATTATAAATGTAACAGCGTGGAAGTAACTTTTTTTGTGATGAGAGATTACATGAAAAGCTCAGTAATTTAAGAGAAATCTAATGTGGAATAAAAACACTTCCTCAAAACTACTGAATACTCTGCATTCTGTCTACTCAATGGATTAGAGTACTTTTGTCGTACTATTAAAGTATGACTAAACATATATTTAGTCAAAGAAAGCTTATGTATTTTATGTAGTAATTAATTACAAAAGCAAAGAGACCAACTGTAAGATGTAACAAACTAAATCTGAGTCTCTTCTTAATATGTTTAAATACAAATATTATTATATTAGTGGATCCACATTTAATCACTGAATTTTATTAAAAGTAATTTTTAAAGTATTTTATATTGTATGACTGATTCATGTTGATGTGTGGCAGAAACACAATACTGTAAAGCAATTATCTTCCAATTAAAATTTTTTTAAAGTATTTCATATTAATATTTAAATATTTAAAGTACTTCATATTAATGTCATCCTAAATATTTAAAAGTAATTTTCAGCACAATGATAATAAATCTATGCTGAGAAAACATCATACTGAAATTGCTGATTTGTGTTTACCTATAGTTTCTTCTACTGCTCTTGGACATCAAGCCAAATACTTATTCTATGCTGCTGCTGCTGCTAAGTCACTTTAGTCATGTCCGACTCTGTGCGACCCCATAGACGGCAGCCCACCAGGCTTCTCTGTCCCTGGGATTCTCCAGGCAAGAATACTGGAGTGGGTTGCCATTTCCTTCTCCATAGATTTTTGTGTTAAGTGTATTTTTTCTCCATCTTTTATTTCTTATCACTTACAGATGGGTATGTCTTCATAATCTTTTTGATTAATAGAAATTAAATATATGCTTCAACATGTAGATGGATTCTAAGGTAGTAGAACAGCTTGCTGGAATGCTTTGTCACGACCCTACTTGACTTTTGCAACAATGGAATTACACTGACACTAGGGTTACATAAGGCCCAACTCATCTACAAAAATCACATTCCTTCATTTCTTCCTCTTTGTCTGTAATTTATCACAGCATGCCCATAGTTTAATTAGGGTTCTTTCTTTCTCCATTCATATGCAAGTAAGTCTGGTCGATTATTACTATCCTAAAGCTACTTTTTACTCTTGTATTTACCCAAAACTCTGTTACTTTCTTATACTGACTATATGGAAAGGCTTAAAATTTCATTTCTCATAATTTGTTAACTATAGCTAATAAAATTTACTTTAGATATTCTACTATGTCTTCCTACCAAGTATACTTGTATCTAAACACATTATTAAAATATATATTATTGTAAACATAATGCTTGCTTTCATTTCTCTTTTAAATTATATTAGCATATTGACTTCCCAGGTGGCTCAGAGGTGAAGACTCTGCCTGCCAATGCAGGAGTCAAGGAGATGCGGGTTCAATCCCTGGGTTAGGAAGCTCCCTTGGGGGAGGAAATGGCAACCCTGTCCAACATTCTTGTCTGGGAAACCCCACGGACAGAGGAACCTGGCAGGCTACAATCCATGGGGTCACAAAGAGTTCGACTGAACACACACACACACACACATGAAATTTGCATATTACATGTGAAAAAAATCTATAGAATGGTTACATTATCTATGAATGTTATTTACGACGTTATTTTGAAAAGGAGTATTTTGTCAAAGGTGAAAATATATGGTTAATTACCTCAGCTTCAGAGTCCTTCAGTTTTTGAACTTTTTCTTTGACCTTCATCTCAAACACCTGTTCCATCTCCATCTCCATCTTCTTCATTTTAGCTACATGTTCCCTTCTTTCTTCTTCCATTTGTGCAAGCGGGCTCCTGTTATGAACATTAAAGACAATCTTTAAATGTCTAAAAATGAAGTGCAACACAAAACTCTGAAACAGTGATGAAAACAAATGAGCTGTTGTATGCCATTACTAAATTCTCTGCTTTCTGTTTTTTGAAAACAAGCTTCAAAATAAGCTTTTAATTATTCTGACACCACCTTAAATAACACAGAACACAGATTTGAAGTTTTATATACGAACATATGAAATAATTCTTCAGAAACTTGTAAAATTTATAAATATTTATAATCTAGAACTTCCTTCCATGAAGTTTCATAACTTGAAGTCTCCCTAAACCTAATGCATATCAAATCTAAAGAAAACACATAAAACAAGACCTACGTAGAAGGAAAATGGAAAAGACACATTCCCTAAATACATTCTCAAAAAGAAAAACTAGAAGAAAATTAATTCCTAAACAAAATTTTAATATGAAAAATGGTATTGAACTAATGAAGGAGGAGGAGGGAGGGAGGCAGACAAAGAGAGTATCAGAAGCAAATGAATATCCTGACATTTCTGAAATGCTAGAAAACAGAAATTAAGAAGTAGTCCACTCTATTCAACTTCACAGACTCAAATCTCTGCAGTGTTTTCCAAAATTTTCTGTTGAAAAATACTAAAAGTATGCTTTATGTGAAGGTTAGTATACTTATAGAGAAAAGAGAATGGCAAAGTATCAGTAACCTACTACAGTCCCAGAGAAGAAAGAAAAGTGGGCTCTGTGGCCTTCAGGATTTCTAAAAACCTATTAACGTACACTGGGACAGATTAAAAGAGACAGGCCCTTTTCTTACTTTGTTGATAAAACACGTATATTATGCTTCCACAAAAACAAGCTTTGACCATTTAATTGCAAACCTAAATGAATAAAGTGGTTAAAAAAGTTAAATTATGGCTTAAAAACAGAATCAGGCTTTGTATTTCATCTATAACTTCAAGACTAGTCACTTTGATCTTGGTATGACACACTGATTATGGTGACTTCTCTCCTTATGAGGCTGAGTATTTCTGACCATCACAGAACTATTCTTCCCTATCAAGGAGGAGAACAAGAGACCGAGATGGAATATATCAAATTAATAACAGGACAGAAGAACACTGCCTACTGATTTTTCTTAGCAAAAAGGAAAGACAAAAATGTGATGTACCACTGTGACCAAGAGGATTTGTTTTTGCAATTAGTATAAATTAGAACAAAATGTTTTAACTAAAGGATATTTCTTCATCTAAAGAACAAACCTGCAGTATGTTTTAATAACTAAACAATTAATCAGGAGTTCTGAAAATGAAAATAAACCAAACATTAACTTAGGAGAATCAACATTAAAAAATCTAGGTAAACTGGAATAAATTTTAAAGTGTAAATATCATTATTTCACTAAAAGCTGATATATTTATGGCAGGTATTTTTAATATAGGGGCCTCAAATCTCTCGGGCAGAATGTCAATGAAGTCCTGAAATCACACAACAAACGTGTGTGTTTGTGTTGTGTGTTCACACAAGCATTTTTTCTAGTAAGGGTTCAAAGCTTTTGTTTGATTTCTATAAAGCTCACTTCTGCCATTCCCCAAAACATTTTTAGACTCTAGGAAAAAAATACTCTTAACAATGATTTTTGAATTGGCCATCTTAAATAACTGAATATGTTAAGCAATTGAAGATTATCCAACAACACTGCTGCAACTCGAAAATATATTGTAAACATTATATAAATTATAACACTAGAATTTAAAAAAATAATTAAATTCAGATGGAATTGTGATTTTAAAATTAAATATATATTCCCACTAATAATAACCTATTAAATAGTCTTTAATTTCATCCTTGGGAGGAATAAACCAATCCATATAAATGTAAAGAATCTGTAGTATACTTTGCACATGAAAAGGCTACCTACCACCTTACTAAGAGTGGAGCACCTGTCACCTAAATTATCATTTATATAACTCTTGGAGGAAAACAGAAGATTGTAGAGCTTTGATGTTTTAAAATTTGTTTTTAAATACTGAAAATCTTTACATACTAAAACTGCTTATGTCTTTGGAAAAACAAATGAAATGTCTTCAAGTGTGCCATATCTAAAAGAACAAAAAATAGAGACTTAGCACACATAAATGGAAAAGAAAAAGGTTAACCCTCTCCAGTATTCTTGCCTGGGAAATCTCATGGACAGAAGAGCCTGGAGGGCTACTGTCCATGTGGTCACAGAAGTGGGACGTAACATAGTGCCTAAACAACAACAAAACACACTTACAATAAACCAAAATAAAAGTAGCAATTAAAAGCAAATCCACAGATTAAAGGGGCTCAGCTGGTAAAGAATCGACCTGCAATGCGGGAGACCTGGGTTCAATCCCTGGGTTGGGATGATCCCCTGGAGAAGGGAAAGGCTACCCACTCCAGTATCGTGGCCTGGAGAATTCTATGGACTGTATAGTCTGTGGGGTCGCAAACAGTCGGACACAACTGAGCGACCTTCACTTTCACGTTCCTAAAACAAAAGTTTATGGCCAAATTTGTTGAAGATACTTAATTTCTTTTCCAAATTCTGTTAGTAATCCCTATACCAAATCATTATAAAGTAAATATGCTATGCAACTATCTTCTGACAGTCTGTTCAAATTTCTAAACCTATTTACATATGCATACTTTCAAAGACATGCTCAATATTTCACACATGTACTTTCTGTCTTTCAGCCTTATAAAAATACTTGCCTCCTAAACAAGAGTGATATTCCAGTATTATAAGAAAATGGTCACACATATAAAAAAATAACTTTCTGAAGACTCTTACCAGTCAAAATGATTTTATAAATCTGTTAAATTAATTAGCATATCAATTCTAGTCATCTTTATTAAAGTGCTAGTTAGAAAACCATAATACAAAAATGTGTTTATAATGTAGAAAACAGGAAAAAGGATAACTTTTTGTCATCACATTTATTCAAATGAAACTTTATTAGATAGCTAGAAAAACCATTTAAATTATTTCATTGTCTGCCCATTTTTAAATGAAAACACTTGCTGACACGCATTAACAAGCTAAAGCTTATAAACTAAGCTTGTCAGAGAAATTCAATGTAACTCAACCCAAAAAAAGACCCGGTAAAAGATTTTTTAAAATAACAGGCCAACATAATCTGAACATGATATTAAATCCTCAAAGATGCAACTTAGCTTCTTTTAGGGATCTTTTCAAGGGGATCCTGAAAAACGACTTACCCTTTTCATGTGACCAATAACAGAATCACAGCAAAGACCACATTTAAGGCTGACCTAAGACCCTACGGTGGTTGTGTTATATGCCCTACATTTTGGTCAAAGAAATGTATAAATGCTCAAATGTATTACATTTTGAGTATAACGAAAAGACAACCAAAGTTCATTTAAATTATATGTGGTCTTTCCTGAAGAACTCTTTTTTTTTTTTTTCTTGTTCCTTTTATTTATTTATTTTTTTTACATGTATTCCTCATCCCGGTCCCCCCTCCCACCTCCCTCTCCACCCAATCCCTCTGGGTCTTCCCAGCTGAAGAACTCTTTAAGCAAGTACATTTACTACTTGTGCTTCTTAGTTTGGTGGTTTGGTTGGTCACTACGTATACAAACATGTAGCAATTGTCATACAGCATTTTCCAAAAGAATTTCAGTTAAATTAAGGATTTCTAAGAGCAACAAAATTTTCCAAACATTTTGGGAAATAATTGTTACCAACATTTTATTTTGCCAAGTGAGAGTGTTAAAACTAAACATAAGTAAAACAATACCATCATCATATTTTCATGAAAGGACACATGAATAAAAGATGTAATTTAAAAGGTGGGGGGGAATTTCAGAAAACTGTCTTTATATATCTTTAGATCAATGAAAGCTTTGTCATGTACCAAAAGAGTTAGGAGGATTACCCTTTGAAAACCTGTATTTTCAGTCATTTCTATGAATTCAGTTATTGATAAAGATGGAAAAGGCTATAGAAAACAAAGATAAAATTAACATATGGGAAAAAGGTAGCCACAACTTAACCATCTCAATAAAGCAAAACAAATATAGAAATAGAGGGAATCACACAAGTTTTTTGGCTTCCCTGGGCATGTAAGTTATGTTTATACTATACTTTATTACATGTGCAATAGCATTATGTCTAAAAAAAAAACAATGTATGAAAAAGTAAAAGTGTTAGTCACTCAGTTGTATCCGACTCTTTGTGACCCATGGACTGTAGCCCACCAGGCTCCTCTGTGGAATTCTCCAGGCAAGAATACTGGAGTGGGTAGCCATTCCCTTCTCCAGGAGACGTTCCCAACACAGGGATCAAACCTGGGACTCCTGCATTACAGGCAGATTCTTTACCATCTGAGCCACTAGGGAAGCCCATAAAGAACACTATTCCAATTTTCTATTGAGTAGCCAAGAGGAATTTGATGGCAATGAAATAATACGATTTTTTACTAAATAAATAATACCATTCCTGGAAGAATCGATGTATACTTACTTAGTAAGCTGCCCTTTATTCTTGTTATTATCAACTCCATTATAAGTCACAGCTGCCAGTTTTCTGCTCCGGTAGTTCTCATAGTGTACATTATTAGTGACATCTTTCAAGTCCTGCATATGTGTTCTGTCATAAATAAAAGACACATAAAGAATTTGCTTCTATTAAAAAAGCTCTGGTGCAAATTCAAACTTTTAGCAAACAAAAAATTCAGACTTGAAACTTTTCAAGGAAGACACTTGTAAGACACTTCACTTACATGTAAGGGACAGCAAGATATAATGAGCTAACTTGACATTAATGGAAATATAAGTTCCAAATTAAAGTTTAGAAGCCATAAATTCTCTCAAAGCAGTTACTAAAGAATGACATTGCTAGAGAAGAGTATTTACCTTTATAGTATATATTTTATTTTACTAGAGAAGGAAAGGTAGATTAGTTCCTACTGAAGTTCATAAACCTAAAAGAAACTGCTTTCCCTAATATTTCCTTAATATTACTAATATTTGAGTTTTTATTCAGGTTAATATATAGGAATACACAGATTACACACATCAAGTTGGCTTCAAACTGTGTAATTTTAATTTTGAATAAATTCCTGTTTATTCCAATTGTCCTGTAAATGTGGTATTTCCGTTAAATCAATGTCTGCTCATAGCAGACATTATCTATGATACATAAAATCAATATATAGGAGATACCTATACATGAAACAATTTTACCATTCCCTAGTGTTTCAAGATGCTAAAAGACTCCTGTGAGCTGCTTTATTGTTTCCTTTACCAATGCAATGTTCTTGGATATACATGGTGTGGCAGTACTCTGTATCATTTTATCTTCCTTTTTGCCATCATTCATTCCTGCACTTCTAATCCCCCATCTTTCATCTCCACCACTTTACCAAAACTCCCTTATGAGAGACAAACAAAGGTGTTACTCTGTTTTCATTCTGATAGCCAAGAAACATTTACTATTATTTTGCCCTTTTGTGACAGCCAATTACCATGATTCATCCTCTATGGGACATTTTTGTGCAGTTCTCTGATAGTTTACTCCTCCTATTTCTAAGACTGGGTTTTCCACAAGCCTCACTGTCCTTTATACTCTGCCCCTTGATGAATATACACTTTCCATGGCCACTGGAGTTAGCTAAAGCTCTATCCCTCTCTACTTCTGTCAAGTCAGACAGTTTCTTACTCCGAGCATATCCAATGATTGGGACTAAATTTGTCACTGACTCTCAAACTTCAGAGTTCTTCCACTCTGCTTTGGGAGCTCTCCTGGCAGACTTGAAGTCAAGCCCCTCTAACCCAAGACCACCTTCTCCCTGGCTGCCAGTCTTTTATGGTACCAGTATATGTGATAGGTGACAGCATATAACCTCTTCAACTATACTGTAAACATCCCCTTTTACAAAAAAACGTGCCATCACCTTTTGCACTCTTAACACAGAGCATATAATGGGCCCTAGAAAAAACTGATTTGAAGCTGAGACGTGATAAATATTGCTGATTTTCTAGGACATATTACTGTTTTCAATTTCTCTACGTAGAGAATAATAAAAACAAATAACCATGCCAGTATAAAACCATCTTTTTGTAATTTTAAATATCATATATTAACTCATCAATGCATCATTAAAAAAATCATTAAAGGACCTGAGGTAACGTACTTAGCTGAAATACAAAATATGTAAAACAAGGTGGACTTATTAACTAGTCTTAAACTATTTTCATTAATGTCACTGAACACTTTAGATGAAAGATTTTTCCCTTTCACTAAAATAACCTTTTTTAATGATTACTTGGTTCTGATATTTTTCAGGTTATAAAAGTCTCTATTTCCACTTGATTAAAGACGTTTTACTTTACTCTTTTAAAAATCAACTCATTCTTAAACACTTAAAATAATTAGTAATATAGTTTTCTCCAGTTTCTTGAATTTATCTTTTCCATTTCTGACTGCTGATACTATACCATTCTCTTCTCTCCTTTTGTTTTCCTTCTCTATTTGATTTTGGCAATGTCTACTGCCACATCCTGAAATTATTTTTATCAAGTTTTCCTCTTTTCCATTGTCTTCCTTGCTTTGCCTGCAACAGTCAGTTCTCTAAATTAGCAAAATGACATAGCTTTGAACTTGGGTCTTTCTGAGAAGCAACCACTACTACTGACTTTAACCTGCAAGATTTCACTTATTTGGAACTCATAGACATATGGAATATTGGTATTGATATTTCCTTCAAGTATTTATTAAATATCTACTAGGTGCCTTTATCATAAAGACATGAGCTAACATATACCTTACCTCTCCTCTGAACTTAGAAGGAGAAGCAATAAAGTAAAATATTCCTAAACTTATTTTCAAAGTGTATTTATCAAGGATGTTTTACATGTTTCAAAGACTATAAATGAAAAATTATGTTAAGAGGCAAAGTAAACATCTAGCAGAAGTGTAAGTGAACATTTACGCCTTAGGAAAGAAAAAACAAGTGTGCTAAAACAAATTTAACAAATAAACGAAATTTTTATTAAGCAAAATTGCATAACCATCTACCTCAAGAAGTTGAAGACAATATCTTCACTCTACTTGATAAAAAAGTTAAGTAGGATCACTCCCAATCCCACATATAAACATCTGATGACTTTATTTATCTTAATCCATCTTAAGGCAACTATTTTCATAAATCCTTCTCTACCTGGTTCTGCTCCATGAAAATATACCACTTAATACTTACTCTGAATTTCTTTAATACATGTAAATACATAGCATATCTACTTATATATATTATATATAAATTATGTAATATTACATAAGTTTAGAATTTTTAATATTTCCACACATGTATGATTGTCTTGTTGCTTCCCTGTAGGAATGGTCCATTTGCTTGTAATGCCTGTATACTACTGAGTCCCACTCATCAGAGAGAAGGCTGCATACCTTCAAATGTTCAAAGTCTGGCTACTAACTAGCTTCCTTTTCTATAGTATTTTATGTACATAGGCAATTACTGATTGCATATAAAACATATAAGACAAAGTTAAAGATTATCACTGCTTCAAGCACTAGGTAAGTAGCATAGATTTAAAACTGAGAACAATAATAAAATCAGAGGGCATGCACTGGCAATTAATATTTATGAAACACTCTTTACATATATAAAATCATCAGAGATTATTAGTTCTTCTGAAGTCACATTTTCAAAATGGAAGAGAAAGCAGAGATTGTAATAGAACCTGAAGCACTGTTTTCTCAAAACCAAGGGAGATGAACATCCTTTCATGTGCATTTGCTCTCCTCCCACTGTGTGAGGCCTGGCAACCGCTGTGGCTGAACTAACACCAGCATCTACTTTCTATCAGAGCATCTAGTCATGAGTTCTTTTGAGAAAAATCAATTACACAGCAATCTCAATTTCAACATTCACTCCTATCTCTTGTATATTTCTTGAGGTAGCAGTTTGACTCAAATTTCCCCCCTCACTTTTAAGAATGATCTTCTTGTTGTTCCATGATTTCCAATTATCATCAATATTCCTGTTACTTCCACATAGCTAAAGAAATTCTTGTATACTGGGAAAAGTGGAGAGTAGTATAAAAATGAAAAGACATCAACCTAAGATGGACATCTAAAACTGGAGGCTGAAAAGAATAGTATGTATTGAGGGTCTGGAGAAGCAAGCATGATGAAAGAGGAAAAAAAGAGCAAAAGGGTATGAAATAGCATGAGGAAGGAATTTATCTCAACATGAAAACAATGAGGTTCATTTTGATCCTCTTTTTGTTCCTTATCTCTGGATCCTTTCAACTTTTTCTTCAGAATTTCCTCTCTGCTGTTAATTTTCTAATTCAGGTCCTGGTTCCTCTAATCAGAATTAACTCACTGTCCTGTTTTCACATGCTTTCCTTCTCTTTCATCAGATGTACAAGGTACAATTTAGGACTAATGTTTTTCCTTCCTGGGAGGAAGATCAGTTTTTCAGTGTTTCAGTAACAAAAATGCTCCACTCACCAGCTACTAAGCTGTGTATCTTTTAAATATTTGAAGTCCAGCTTCTGACCTAAAACTTAAGCCTTCTCTTCCAGTTTCCACGAGCTTTTCACATTAAAGAGGAGCAAAAGCCTATTCCTGTCTACTTCCATATTTCTTTCAGTATTAAACTGCAACACAAAGTACAATGATTGAAAGACCCACTTTCCTATATATCTCTAGTCACACAGCCTGTTTTGTATTTTTCCTCTAGAGTTTAAAACCTTGGCAAAGTAATACAAATCTGTCTCTAGGCAGTGCTTGCTCCAGTGCTAGAATGAAGATACCAATTTAAATTAGCTAAATTTATAGAAAACAAAAAACTAAATCTGAGACTAATTTTATTTAGGGAAAGAAAAATTTTTGTTATTTTCATCACTGCTTACACTTACCTTATCAACATATTTCTTAGAATTGTAAAATCACAATGTTCACCGTTTTCAACTACAAAAAAAAAAAAAAATCAGACCATATATATTACTTCCATTAAACCCATTCTTTTCAAAGGAAACTGGGTGTTAACAATGAGAGAATATACAAAGTATTAGATATCTTAGGTCAGTGTTTCATTAAGAATTTAACACTGTAAAATAGTACTTAATGTTGGGGGTCAAGGGTGGGTGAGGAATCACTTTAGTAAAACCTCAAGTTAACCAAAATGAAAACTTAAGCCAAGAACTTCAACGTTCCTTTTTTTTTTTTTAATGTATCACTAAAAGAACACTCTTGGAGGGGAATAACCTAAAACTAAAGATACAAAGCAATTTCCTCTGTGCAGATTTCTCAGGTCTATACTAGTTTTAAAGTCTCAGCTCAGAAACTGAAGGCTACATGGTGATGAAAAGAGCTGAAAGTGAGCACAGTATCTCCAGTTGGGAAAGTCATTCGTAAGAACATTAACTTGGAAAATATCCTTAAAATTATATATGTTTTCAAAGTAATATCAACAAATTGTAATCATAACTCAATCTTTATTCCAAGTTACTATAACACTGAAGATTAAATATTAGTATAAACCAGTATAATGAACACAAATTTTGGGAAACATATTTAATGCCAAGAAGGCTTCCAAGAATTGACTCTATAACTAAGATTATATTGCTGTTTAAAACTTCTTTAAAAAATTAGTACAGAGGATCTCTTAATAACAAACTTTCTTGCTCTAAAGATGTGATGCCAAGAAGCTGACTTCTGCCCCGAAGAAAGCAAAACACTAATGTTTTAATTGGGCTTCTGACAGCTGTTCTCATTCTTTAGGGTCCCAGACCCAATTGAGACTCAGATAAAAATGACAGGCCTTTTCTCCAAAACTGTTTTCAGTTTCAGAAGGTTTATTAGATCCCTTGGAAGCAATTTTTGGGCCCCAGATAAAGAACCCCTGCACTGCAAGTGTGTTTTCAAACAAGAAAACAGGAATAGGCTTAATGGTGGGGCAGAGGTGGGAGGATGAATACTGACAAATGGCTTCTAAAGTACTACAACATTAAGACTCAACATATACTTGCCTGACACAGCAGGACATAAGGTCTGAGAAACGTGAATGTATTTAATAAGGAGATGAGGCTCAACAAAACTGAATTCAGATCTCTGAAAATCTAGACTATATCAATGCAGTATGCATATTACACTATTTACTAAATACAAAGCTTTTATAACATTTGTGAAATCTTATAGAAAGCCATTCACTGAACAAAACCTTACCTTCTGCAACACCCCAAGGATACTGCCTTCCTCTGACCCTTTTGCCATTAACTTCAATGATAGTATTACTACCTACCACAGCAAGAGGTAAACGGTCCTATAAAACAAAGTATTCTTGTTCAAATACATCTCTGTAGTCCTCACAAATTCAAGAATAAAGAAGTTACATTACTCAGCAGGTAAGCAAAAAACATTATTACCCCAACAGTTTTTGCATTCACTTTTACAGGTAAATTGCCATTGTATGACATTGTTACCAATGTAAACAACAAACAAAATTATACTTCACTAAAGTTTAAGAATATTAAAGCATATACTGATTAGATTATTTGTTAAAGCATCATTCCAAAAAGAAGTGTTCCATACTGGAAAAATTTTAAAGGGTAAACAATATATTGGCAGCTAGAAGGAAAAAATGAGACTTGTGGCTAGTTTGCCTACTTGGTCATAAATCAACCTTAATAGCTCTAGAAGCAGAGAATGTTATTAATCAATATATCATTTTTAGATCCAGGGTACTTAGGAAACCACTATAAGTTAAAAATATAGAAAATTATGTCGGAATGGATTTTTGATTGATTTTTATAAAAGAACAAAATAAAACATATTTTTGGCTCTTAAAGAATAAGCACAATAGTGTTTAAGAGCAAATCCTTTGTCTTCTCATTATGCTTCCCCTTTCATTCCCATTACCTGTTTGTTTCTAAGGGGGAAAATTATAAAATATGAAATCAGTTAATTGAAAACCATCTGAAAACAAGAACTGTTACTTATCTCTCTATTCCATATAATGCTTTATTATACATAACAGTCAAACAACAAAGTTAATCATAAAGGTGAACTAAATAGTCAATAATCTCATTTATTTTGTTATGTCAATTGTTTAAAAACATTTATATATGTATATGCCACATGGCATGTGGGATTCTTAGTTCCCTGAAAAAGGATTGAACTTGGGCCCGCTGCAGTGGAAGTACACAGTCTTACCCACTGGACCCTCAGGAAGTCCCTATAAACACTGCTATTTCTGGCCTTTACAGCAGCTATTATAGTGTTTCTAAGGCCCTAACACATGTCAGTATATGTAAGGGAATGAACCTACCTTTATCTTTTTAACAAGCTTATTTTCTTCTTCATCATCTGTCTCTGGGAATTCATATATTTTAATTTTATGTTCTTGGATTTCTTTCATTATCTAAGATGAAAGAGAAAGTTAGTAAAAGAGCACCACATATAATTTTAGATATTAGCTTTATTTTTATTATACTCTTCTTAAATTCCTGAGTCTTTAGCTCCAGTTCCTTTACTGTTTTTCAACAATGCAAAATGTAATTTAAAACCAAAATAGTATGCTGGTGGTTTTTTTTTCTGTAAAGTTTATATATAAGTACCATTCTCTAAATCCAATTGCTTCAGCAATGTTAAACTTATAAGGTTACAACACCCAAAGAGTTCTAAAAATGATGTAAGATTCCAGAAACGGCTTCACTAGTTGATTTCTACTCTAGTAGTTTTGGGTCATTTATTTATAATGACCGAGATACCTTTAGACAAATTCTTACCAACTATTTTATTCAGCTGAATCAATAGAGCTTAAACTCACCTAAAGTTTTTAGTAGAATTGAGCAAAGGTAAATAAAATTAAGTATAGCACTGGCTCTAGGAAAAAAAATGTGCACTTATCAGAAAATATCCTTGCATGTACATGTGCATACACACACATCAAGGAGCAACAGATAAAAGATCAGGCAAGCACACAGGGAAAAAACATGCCCTGGAAATTAAGAAGCTAGTGAATTTATAATAATAATCAATGAGAATACAGAAAAAAGAAAGATAACTTACTAGTAACATCAGAAATGACCTCAGATTAATTTATTTTGCCCAAAATTACTCTAAATTCAAATAAGAATACAGACATCCAAATAATGTTGAATACCTACCCTATTCAAACTTGTAACAAACAAATTGATGGTGAATAAACCTAAAACTAGCTCCCCGCCTGTACTGGTAATTTAATGCTACACTCACTACCAGGGTCCCCAGCAGCAGTAAAGGGACCTGAAACAATGTGCTACATGGCTACAACAGCAGACAGAGTTGCCATGGAAATAAACAAGACCACCTATCTTTTACAACTGGGTTATGTATCTAGTTAGAAAAAAAAACCCTAAGAATAAATGATGAGGTGTCAGATTATGTGTCAACCTAATGTTGGCCAAAAAGTTCATTCAGGTTTTTTTGTACGCTTTCTGAACATACTTTTTGGCAAACCTGATACATGACTAGAAGAAAAAAGAAAGACTAGTAGCTAGCTCTAAGAGCAATGACTTTTAGTCAGAGGTTGTATATTAAAATAGCCTGAGTGAGCATCTTCACAATAACAAATACAAAGTTGTATCTTAACCTACAAAACCAACTAGTAGAGCTATGGTCCAATAAATCATTTTGAAAAAGTTCTCTACATGACTCTGATAAACACCTCTGGCTAAACAAAAGAATAAATAAATAAAAAGTAAATTGACAACCACTGCAAGTGACCAATTTGGAAGTAGAGATCACTGCTTATTCACCTTTTTTATTTCTTCATTTTTAGTACAATTCCAAATTAAGATAAAAGAGAAATATTACTATACTATATGATTAGTATCTGAACTTAGAAACAGCAAATTACAAAATAAAAATGGAGCTAATAAATGTAAAATAAAAAATTTCCTGGTAGAAATATCAGATACAGTAAAAATAATGTAGTAAAACATTCTAAAAATTTATATGGATTTAACACAATTTCAAAGCAAATTTCCACAGGTTTTCATTTTTCTAATAGTTTTCAAGTTATTTTAAAATTCATACTGAAGAAGATGAAGAACCAAAGTACTCTGTTACAGAAGACTAGAAGGACAGTAAGAGATAATGAACTCTAAATCTCTTTTAAAATATTATACAACTTAGCTTCAATTCAAAAGACATACACTGCTAGATGCTCAGTTGTGTCCAACTCTTTGCAACCCCATGGACTATAGCCTGCCAGGCTCCTCTGTCCATGGAATTCTCAAGAATACTGGAGTGGGTAGTCACTCCCTTCTCTAGGGGATCTTCCTGACCCAGGGATCGAACCCAGGTCTCCCACACTGCAGGCAGATTCTTCACTGTCTGAGCCACCAGGGAAGCTCTTAAAAGACGTAACACTGGCCTAAAATTTAAAAACAGGCTACTAGAATAGGAAAGTAGTTCCAGAAACTGATCCTACATTTTATAAAATACAATGTATAGTAAACCAAAAACACAACACTGAGGGAAAACTAAACCCCTGATTTAAAATGTTCAGCTTTTCTGGAAAATTGAAAGTTAAAGAAATTATTAGGTACCACCTTAGTCCAAAAAAGTTTAAAAAAAAATAATGACAATGCTGGCAAGGCACTGGAACAAACATACCTGTCATAAAAAGAATTTTGACTGTTTTATTGAGAAAGCACCATGACAAAATAATTATACCCTTTAAAAAGTAATCCTCTCCCCAGGAATTCAGCCTAGGAAAGTAATTCTATAAAGGGTGTGGGGAAGGGCAGTGGCACACACAAGCTATACAGAAACATCTAAAATGGGCCTTCCTTTGTGGCTCAGCTGGTAAAGAATCCACCTGCAATGTGGGAGACTGCCTATGGGGACAGGTGGTGGTGGAAGCTATACAGAAACATCTAAAATAGCCTTATTTAAACTGACAAAGGATAGGGCATTATGGTTTCCCACGTGGCTCAGTGGCAGAGAATCCTCCTGACAACAGAGGAGGCACAAGAGACAGAGATTCGAGCCCTGGGTCAGAAGATCCCGTGAAGTAGGGAATGGCAACCCACTCCAGTATTCTTGCCTGGAAAATTCCAGACCGAGGAGCCTGGCAGGCTACAGTCCATGGGATCACGAACAATTGGACACAACTAAACAACTGAGCACACACACAGAAGCGCACTATGATAATACTTACAGGCTCCTAGGAGAAAAACTAAAGCAGGAGACTAATTTTCAACAGTTATTTTTAATATAGTGTAAACAACCACACACACACAGTCAAGTAGCAGGAGGAACACACTATACATATTATAATGAAAATATGAAAAACTGCAAATTACATGAATAGTATTAGAATACTAAGAATTCCCAAACTCATTTTACTTACCTGTTTCTTAAACTGTTGGCATTCCTCTGGCGTGAGTGTGTCTGCTTTGGCAATAAGTGGAATGATATTCACTTTTTCATGCAAACGCTTCATAAACTCAATATCCAATGGTTTAAGTCTGAAATACACAAATATTTAATATGATTGGATTGACCAATTCAGGAGAACAGATTTTTCACAGACCAATGTTAAAATTACATACATTGGAACTACTTCATTTACTCATAAGAAACACTCTCTAAAGATGTATATTGGGCCAGCAACAGTTAGGAAGAACAGGATTTCAAGCACTGGAATGCCTAAGAAACCTTTGACTCCTGTGTTTTAACACCCTGGTCACAGCATGTGGACCCAAGTATAGAATCAGAAAATTCAGAAAGGCTCCTAATAAGCTTTCCTATAAGAGACTCTACTTATCACTCAAATTTGGGAAATCTGTCTTGTTTTTAATGAAAAATTATAATCCTCTTTTACTTCTTGTTACCCAGTATATTTCTCAGAGAAGGGGCTCAAAAGAACATCTTCTTCATCATCCCTTTTATTCATTAGACTCTATTGCCTCCACTTGGCCACTGTACTTTTTAAGGTCATCAAATACTTTCAGGCTGCTAATATAATTAGTTAGCAGCAGCCAACTCATAAACACTGTGGTGTTTAATGGTATTTTTTAATTTGCCCATTATGCAGCACTGACATTACTCTCTCACAAGCTGTTCACTTAAGGTAATTTCCAGGATCCTCTTTGTAAGCTAGTCCCTTAAAAGGTACATGACTCAGAATTCTCTATTAGGTCTTTTCTTCTCTACATTCTGAGCTTATCATTAACTACAACTTCTAAAATCCTTTATGAGTCAATAACTCCCAAGTCTTTACACCTAGCCCGGATCTCATTCTTATGTTCCAGGCTTGTGTTCACCTGATAAAATACTACTCGGACATTCCATTTTGCCATCTCAAAATCAAAAGTTCATCTGAACCCCCAAATACCCACTCCCCTTCTATGCTTTCTATCTCAATAAGTAACACTTCAATCCACCCAGTTACTCAAAGCTGAAACGTAGGATTCAGATTGGATAAACTTCCTGTATTTATCCATTCCAAAGATTCAGCAGAATCTGCTGAACAAATAAAAATATTTATATATTTAATCTCCTTTCCATTACTTTGGTTCAGGCCACCAAACTTTGATAATGACAAGGATCTATCTAGTTCCCCTCAAAACCATGCACACTGCAGTCAGTGTGATGTTTCTAAAATCCAATTCCGATCAAGTCATTCCCAGACTGAAAACCTTACTAAAGCCAGATTCCTTAAGTGAGTGTGGCCTACAAAGCCTGTGAAAACATAACCTCTTCAGCTCACCTCATCTCTCAGCATCCCTTAGCATTTTTGCTACTTTCTACTTCCAATATGCCAGCCTTTTTGAACTTCTCACAGTATCTTGAAATCACCATACTCTGGCCATATTGCCTTGGCCTGGAACAACTCCATTCCCATCCCCAATCTAGCTGGCTTGCCTAATTCCTATTTGTCCTTTAGAACCTAGCTTACTATTCTCATTTCCTCTGAGAATTCTTCTCCAACCTAAGACTAGAAGCCTAAGGGATCACAACACTGAATCTGTCAAATAGTAACCACCTTACTTGTCTTCTCACTAGAAGATCCTTAAGAGCAAAGGCCTTTGTCTCATTCATCTCTTCTGTAATATCTAGTACAGTGCCAAAACTTGAAAGGTGTCCAAATATGTCCTGACTAAAAAACTAAGCTGCTGTAATTTTCCTTACATCTTTGACTAACTGTAAAGGAAAATCAGCTATTCCTCACATGCAGAGTACTCTATAGACTAAAAATTAATATTTAACAAAATAAATGAAGATAGCAGCAGTACTCTACATAGAAATACAGTATTCCTTAGCTTTGATAAAACATGAGGAAAATGGAATAAAGATCTAATTTCATTATAAATTTTATGGACTAATATTTTAAAATAAACAGAAAGCCCTTGTTTGAGTTCTCTTAGCATACTATAGTTTAATATATATACTGTTTGGTGTATTGGGGGGTCCAGAGACTAATGAGATACTCCTTTTTTACTGATGAATAATACTATTCTTCTTTGTGGTAGTGACGCGCTGATTGGCAGAAAGACAGGGTAAGGAGGCAGGAAGGCAGAAATGGAGAAATGAGACAGCTTCAATTCTAATTCTCATCTTAAATCCTTTGAATTTTGATTCAGAGAACACTACAGAAAGAGTGTGTGGCTGGAATAACACTATATTTATCTATAAACAGCACACTTATCTCACTAGTGGTAACTGAAAAACCTTTTGATTTTGAGGAAATATTTAAGTTTTTGCCTGTTTTTCATCAATCATTCCATAACACTAAATATAAAAGCCATGGCTCAGTCAATCAATCTCAGACTTGGGACTGCCCTGGTGTTTCAGTGATTAAGAATCTGCCTGCCAATGCAGAGGACACAGGTTTGATCCTTGGTTTGGGAAGACTCCACATGCTGTAGAGCAACGAAGCCCCTACGCCACAACTACTTAGCCCATGTGCAGCAACTACCAAACTACCTACACGCCCTAGAGCCCATGTTCTACAATAGAAGGCATTGCAATAAGGAGGCCAAGCACCATAACGAGAGCAGTCCCTGCTCACCACACCTAGAGAAAGCCCACACGCAGCACTGAAGACCCAGCAGAGCCAAAAAAATAAATTTTAAGAGAGAAATATGGAGCACATAAAATAAACTTAATTATTTCCACTATATATTTTTTTTTAAATCTCACATTTGTAAATTTTTAGAGTTTACCTTCCAGATTATATGCAGGACAAAGTTAAATTATTACCGCTACCACCTCATTAAACTGGTGACAGAAAAGAATTCAGTTAATCTATAATTTTAATGAATCTTAATATAAGATATTAAACTGTAATCCAAGTTAACAAGATTTTACGCTTAAAGTAAAACAACATTCACAGAACATTTATTATTTCAACTTTCCAAGAGAAAGATACTTGAAAAGAGCCATGACAAGGAAATCAGGGTAGTCAACTTCTCAAACATAAAATGATAGGGCTGAAGAATATTAAATCATTTTTTACAAAATTAAACTTTAGATATAACCTTTATAAAAGCCCTGATAAAACCCTCTGCCCCCTTACACTAGAATACAAATTTTAAAAGCTTACAAAATGCCAACAGAAAACACTTATTTCACAACAGATTACAATCTGGTTGAAATTTTTCCTCTATCCATTAATTTTATTTCAGGTCATCTTTTCCAACAAATCTAATTTTTAAGTCATTTTTTTTTTTTTTAACACAATGGGAAGTCCTTTATAGAATTTCTAAAAGATAAACCCTTCCCTGGTGACTCAGACACTGAACAATCCACTTGCAATGCAGGAGACCCAGGTTCAACCCCTGGGTCGGGAAGACACCGTGGAGAAGGAAATGGAAACCCACTCCATATTCTTGCCTGGGAAATCCCAGGGGCAGAGGAGCAACAGTCCATGGGGTTGCAGAGTCAAACACGGCTGAGCGATCAAACACTCACAAAGAGAAAAAACGATTTAACACCTCAAAGCCTACAGCAAAGTAAGTAAAATGAATAAAGGGCAAATGACAAATAGTTATTAAACATATATACGTATATACATTTCTAAGGGAAAAAATATCTATATAAAACTGATACTTTTTTCAAAGTAGCAATCAAAATTCAAAAGGTTTGTAAAAGCACCATTTAAAAATTCAAGTTCCAAGTCAGTTACCAACCACTGAACAAAGGAAATGAAGCAACAACAGCTGAAATCACATATTAACCCTTTGTTCATTGATGACACTTGGTGGGGTAAGGGACACAGAAAATACACTGCTGGACCAATATATAATTACTCCAAAAACAGAACCTCTAAAAAGGGAATCCAGGGACTACCCAGGTAAAAGGTCATAATTCCTCTACTATACTGCCTGGAATTTCACTCTTTAGTGAGCATGGAATTTGGAACTCTCTACAGAAAATTCAATGTCATATTATGTCACTTAATCCACAGCAGCATATACCAGTGGGCAAAACTTTGTTCCATTTCTAAAAATAGTTAAGCTGACAAACTACTCAAAAGCACGTTGTTATACATAAAAAATTAAAATCTGGAATTCTCATCCCTTGTGACAAACAAGAAATGGTCCCAAGCCACTACACATAATATCAAAATCTTTTCTTTTAAAAAAAAATTGTATTTCCCATGCAATTTTAAGGACTATATTTTCCCTCGGGGATAAGAGAAATGTGATTTCATGAGAATTACTAAATGTTGGAGAGAGTCCAAAAGATCTAAAATAATAAAAAGTGGATATAAACTGACAAATTTCTATTGACTTAACTACAGGTTAAGAGTTTACTTTGCTGGCTTTCAGGAAAAAGCCCTAACAAGTTATATTAGAATGATAAATATATATATATACCTAAAAATTCAAGAAGAAACTAACAAGTTCTCAGAAAAAAAACTATACAGTATGGTATTATGAGTTTGCTTGTTTTTTTTTTTTAGCCTTTTAAGTAGATAAGTCAATTTTGGGCTTTAAATATATAATTTTCTGAGAATACTACAGAAGAATATTAGAAATGAAAAAGAAACAGCTGCACCACTACAATCAGACAGTGCAAAAATGGTAAACTATAAAATTAAGGCTTTCTGTTCAACCAAGATGGTAATAATGGGCACTAGCCTATCTTAGGCAAAAGGTGAAGAAGCAGAAGACAGAAGAGAAAGATACACTTTTGAAAGTGGGTTTCCCTGATAGCTCAGTTGGTAAAGAATCTGCCTGCAATGCAAGAGACCCCGGTTTGATTCCTGGGTCGGGACGATCTGCTGGAGAAGGGATAAGCTGTCCACTTCAGTATTCCCGGGCTTCCCTTGTGGCTCAGCTACTAAAGAATCTGCCTGGATTGTAGGAGACCTGGGTTTGATCCCTGGGTTGGGGAGATCCCCTGGAGAAGGGAAAAGGTACCCACTGGAGTATCATGGCCTAGAGAATCCCATGGACATCCATGGGGTCAGAAAGAGTTGGACATGACTGAGCGACTTTCACTTTCACTTGAAGGAACTGGTTCACACTACTGTAATTTGGGTGTTAGATGACTTAATGCTATTTAGTCTAACGCTAAGAAACAGTCCAGTCCCTTTTGGTGGAGATGGTCAAGTTACAATCATCAGGGGGCAGAGTTATGCTAAGTCACTTAATCAAAGACTAAAGAAGAGGGCTTCCCTGGTGGGTCAGATGGTAAAGCGTCTGCCTGCAATGTGGGAGACTCAGGTTCGATCCCTGGTTCAGGAAGATCCCCTGAGAAGGAAATGGCAGACCACTCCAGTACTCTTGCCTGGAAAATCCCATGGACGGAGGAGCCTGGTAGGCTACAGTTCATGGGGTCGCAAAGAGTTAGTCACGACTGAGCGACTTCACTTTCACTTTAAAGCAGACTAAGTACAAACATCTGCAGTTGATGATGACACACATATCTCCTCAAAATGACAAAGAAATACAAACAACCAAAACAGGAGTACAAGCTGGCCATACAAACAAACAGAACAATCAGATCAGATACATGTCTAAATACTCAGATCTTAATTTTAACTCCTAATAAGTAGAAGGTTAGTACTGATGACAGGATACTTAAACAATTTGACTGTGACAGCTAAGGTAAAATAGAAGATTAGTGAAATAGATTTAGTGAAGAAAGAAATGGCACATGATAACCTTGGTACTTAAGTTCTTTTGCAATGTTATCTACCAGATGTATAATAAATAACATCTTTGGAGTTTCTTAGAATATGGCTAAGCTAATTGTTAGGTGTGTTTCTCCTTACTTGACTGTTTAATCTGTGGCAGACTGGTCAAACAAGAAAGCTAAATTAGCCACAATGAGACACCAAACCATGATGAAAACAATATTCCTCTCCATGAAGCACAGTCTTACACATGAGATACTAAAAAGTAAAATCATTTTTAGCGTGGCTAGGGCTTATGTTTTTTATAAATCATTTTTATATGGAATTTGGAACTTCACAAGTTGTATAGTTAAATGTACTCCACAGAGATGAGGATTACTAACACATGCACCCAAAGATGAGTAATAATAAAACAACAAAAAGATTATCGAAGTATTCAGGTACTGACCCATGTCCTGAAGGAGCAATGAAGTATAAACAACACTGCACCCTGTTATCAGGCATCTGACGTCTGTTCACTCTAGATTCTGCATTTAGGTAGTCCTCGAACTTACTATCAATGTAGTCGATAACAGGCTGCCAGCTGTAGAATGCAAATAAATAAAATAATTAAGTTGAGATTTCACATATGAACGGTGCTTCCCAGATACCTCAGTGGTAAAGAATCCACCAAGATCCCTGGCTCAGGAAGACCTCCTAGAGAAGAAAATGGCAACCCAGTCCAGTATTCTTGCCTGGGAAATCCTATGGACAGAGGAGCCTGGCAGACTGTCCATGGGGTCACTAGAGTCAGACATGACTAAGTGATTAAATAACAAAAAACACACTTTACAACATGAAAAATTACATCCAAAGAGTTTTAGATTTCAAATGAAAAGATTAAACAACACAGAAGCCTCATGATGAATTTATTTAGGAATTTCAAAAGTTGAAGAAATTTACTTCAAAAATAATGCAGAACTCAAAGAAAAATTAAAATATTTTTATAAGCTCCTATTATCTTATTTCCAAATAGAAAGTCATGGATGTTTTCTTCACTTACAACTTATGGAAAAACTGAAAGTCTAAAATCATATTTAAATTAGGGTGTGACGGAAAACAGATAAAATTAATAGCGAAGAATGAAAAGTTTCAAATTTCTTATAATAATGAGAATTCTTTAATCTATGTTTTAGAGTCTATCTTCAAAATAATTCTATGAAAAGTGTTATCATCATTTTATAGAAAAGGAAATCAGTTCAAAGAAGTTAAGCAACAATGACAAGTAAGTGGCAAAGTTGATATATGAACCCAAGCCATATTACTTAAATTTCAGTAACCATAGGTGAGAAGATCTAAAATGTTAAAAAAAGTCTAACCAGCCCTATTCCCAAATGCAATGTAAAGCAGTAGGGACAACCCCCCCCTTTTTTTTTCATTTATTTTTATTAGTTGGAGGCCAATTACTTTACAATATTGTAGTGGGTTTTGTCATACATTGACATGAATCAGCCATACAGTTACATGTATTCCCCATCCCGATCCCCCCTCCCACCTCCCTCTCCACCCGATCCCTCTGGGTCTTCCCAGTGCACCAGGCCTGAGCACTTGTCTCATGCATCCAACCTGGGCTGGTGATCTGTTTCACTATAGATAATATACATGTTTCAATGCTGTTCTTTCGAAACATCCCACCCTCGCCTTCTCCCACAGAGTGGGACAAACCCTTCTTACCAATTACTATTATCCACTGCATCTCCAAATCCTGGGGTATCGACTATTGTGAGCAGCAACTGAACACCACCTTCTTTGATTAAAACTTTGGACTGTTCCACCTGTAAGAGTCATTGTGTACAGATATTAATAACATACATTATATCTGTGGTTTCCTACAAGGTAAGATGTAGGGAGACAAGTGTTAATCAAAACCAAATAGGAAGCTTTTTGTAAAGTAAATCTACCCACCCAGCCACTTTCTTTAGAATCAGTTACTGTAGATGTTGAGTGTCCAGGTTACTTAAAAGAAAAGTACATACATAAATAATGGGTTTACAGCTCATAGTTGGTATAGAGAAGGAAAATAGGAACTGATAAAATATTATTAATTACTAAAGCCATATAAAACTTAAACATAAATGCACATCTAATAATACAAATAAACAATGTGCTTGAATGATCAAGTAATTCACAGAGATCAAATATGATTTATCAGCAAGTACATTTAATCTACCATTTGCAGTAAATGTTTTCTGGACTATCTCCATCTACTTTGGTCCCAATACTCAAGTGAACTTATTACCATTCCCAAATCTTTCTCAGCATGGCTATAATTATTTACATTTGTGTTTATGTCATGACTAAGAGCCAACTTTCTTCTCGAATGTGTTATTGTCCATTCAGGTCAAAGCAATCAGTGAAGATCCAGGCATTGAAAAAACATGTATTCTGGTAGGGTAAAACCCTACTGCTGCTGCTGCTGCTAAGTCACTTCAGTTGCGTCCGACTCTGTGTGACCCCATAGGCATCAGCCCACCAGGCTACTAACTCTGATTAAAATCTTCAGTTCTCTTTAGAGTTTGTAAAAATGTTCTATTTAAGAAAAGGAATTGGACTTAAACAATAATAGCAGTTCTTCCTACAATCTAAGATATTCCGTAACCCCAAATTCTGTTTTAGAATGTAAAAATCATTCATCTTGGACATATGCTGCTCCTACATAAGGCAAACACTCATTCAAACAGAAAAGGAGAATCATTCTCCCAGAAAAAAATAGGCTTTCATTTAATTTATATATAGTGTTTAGTAAGACTAGAGGTTCCAAATATGCTGATAGGCTAACTTAAGAGGCAAGAATTAAACTTTGAATGTTACATGCCATAGGATGGTACCAATTAAGTACTACTAGACTTAAGAGGGAAACATGAAAAACAATTTCAACTATCTATGTTGATTAACAGAGTTGGGAAAGGAAAAGCGACTAATTTCTGGGTAGGAAAAGTTTGATTTACCTTTACAGATTAAAAAATTGATGACGTCTTTCCATTACCCTCTGACATTTTCTTACAGATGCTAGCTGATGGATGAAGAGACTGAAGAGCTGAAACTAAGACTGCTGAGTGAAAAGTGTACAGCAGCATTGCTCAACAGAACTGAGATGATGGAAATGGTTCTATATCGACACTATCCAATACATACTAGCTTGCTTACCCATGTGGTTAACAAGTTCTTGAAACCTGACTAGAGCAACTGAGGAACTGAATGTTCAATTTTATTTAAGTTAAATTGAAACAGCTACAGGTGGCTTTGCTGTTCAGTCACTAAGTCATGTCTGACTCTTTGGTGACCCCATGGACTGTAGCCTCCCAATCTCCTCCGTCCATGGGATTTTCCAAGCAAGAGTACTGGAGTGGGGTGCCATTTCCTCCTCCAGGGGATCCTCCCAACCCACATGTGGCTTAGTGACTACTGAATTCTATGGTGAAGATTGACGGCAATCAGAAATTATTTTGTTATAAGAAAAAAAAAAGTATTTTGTTAAAAGAGTATTATCAAAAAAGAAACTTGCTGAAACTGTAATTTGGACATGCATATTCATAGAAAGGCTTCCAATCTTTTAGACAAATAAGAGACAAAGTTCTTATCTTTTAGACCAATGGTTTTTAAACTGCTTTGACCCTAATGTAAACTCTCAGTGAAAATTTTAGATATCCCAAATGTAAGTACATTTATTTATCTACCAAACATATAAAATTGGTTATCTGAACATTAAATAGCAGGAAGGGTCAATTTCTCTGTAAATTAAAAAAGTTAAACATCAATAGATACGGGCTCTAATATTTTCTGGTCACCTTCAATATCAACGATGGTTGCACACTGCTTGGGAGAATACTGTTTCACACCACATAGCTAAGATAATACAGTCTGTCTGGTATTGAGTTACTCTAATAATCTGAGAGAGGCAAAATAACTGGAAATAATCAGACTCATCAGTGTAGATTATCAAAACTAAAAACAATTGAGTGATATTACTTCATGTGGCTTAGAAATTCACATTCTATATATCTATTAATTGTCTACAGTTAAAAAGGACAATCTGGTTATATGTCAATTATATTACAATTTTTTAAAAAAGAACAATCTATTCAAATCTAACATCTCAATATATATGTAATTCACCTCCATCTCCTTCATAAAAATAAGTTATCCATTTATGGTAACTGTCACTGAAGCAGAAATATCCAAAGTAACCATCCCTTCACCTAAAAATTCTCAAAAATTATTTTAAATGACATGGTATCATGTATTAGAACTGATGCAAAAATATAACTGTTCTACATGAATCATCTCCTGATTTTACTCCAAACCATTTCTGGTTCTCTCATTACCAAACAAAGCACATTTCTACCTCCACTACTAGGCTGTATACTAATCACACACCACAACAGCTTAAATTTTAAGATTTTTGCTTCCTTGTAAAAAAAAAAAAAAATTAGTTCAACAACTTTATTGGAGTGATAAGACAAATGAAGATCTGCTTTTTATACAGAAGCTTCTTTTCTTCTTTGGCCTATGAAATTCTGTGTATCCATACATGGTCAAATACAAAGAAGACGGCAACATGTGGAAGAAATCCAGAAAACATAACTGTAAACTAGTGCCATTCACAGGATCCAACTGTATCCTATCATCTGGTTTTGCAAGTATCCTCATGGGATCCATGGAAAACAAATTAGTTCAAGTCCAGGAATTTCAAACTTTTCTTAAGAAATCTATTCCAAATGGCCACTTTCCCATGCACTTTACTTAAGCAGGTCACATCAGCATATTTTCTGGCATCACTCAGAGTTCTCGAATATTAAACACATAATTTAATACCAAAGGAATGAATGAATCAAAGGCACTTTCAAATGAGCTTTTCTTTGAAAAAGAAAATTAAAGCCTATTATATTGTTTATGTATAATAATTAAGGGCTATTTTGGATTCCTAGATTCCAGAAACTCACACTTTTTCTAATATTTACAGTTTTTCAATCTGAGAAAACGTCCAACTTTCACTGTTCATACAGCTTCAAGTCTTCCATTTCTGAAAGACTATTAAACACACTACACTTTTCTAACTTAATGTTTGAGTCATTTTTTAAGATAAAGTTTTCTAACTATATTAACATTTGAGGAGAGGGTTAAAATTTTCTGTCAAGAGCTTACCTCCACCTATACTTGCTCAGGAGATGGCATTACAGCCAAAGCTCTGCAGACTTGACTAGTAGAAACTTGAATAGTCTGCGATATTCCATTTGGCTCAAACACAAAATCTATTCTAGATTATTTAATAACTCAAAAGACAAGCATCATCATATATACTTCATTATGTTCAACAAGATACTTAAGAGAGGCAATGACCAACAGAATAGTTATGCTTAAAGACTACTTCCTTCTCACCAAGACTGAGAACAAGCTGAGAAGAAACTTGATCCAAACACTGTAATTCTGCCTTCTACTCTCTGAACCACTATATACCTCATTCCCCTGTCTCCTTACACTGAAATCTTAATTCCCATGTCCCTTTCATTTTCTATTAGCAAACCCCTCCCAAATCCTTTCTTTTCCTTTCCAGCTAAAATGCTTTTCCATAAATTTCATTAACTTCAACTTTGACAGGAATTTCCAGGTCATCTGATAATTATTTTATTTGCTCCTTCAACTCATGTCTCTTCTAGTATGATTCTTCCCAAGTTCTATCTTGGGGCTTCCCAGGTGGCTCAGCGGATAAAGAACCTGCCTGCAATGCAGGAGACTTTTGTGGGTTCAGTCCCTGGGTCAGGAAGATCCCCTGGAGGAAGGGCTTGGCAACCCACTCCAGTCTTCTTGCCTGGAGAATCCCATGAACAGAGGAGCCTGGTGGGCTACAGTCCACAGGGTCACAAAGAGCTGGACACGACTGAAGTGTCTGAGCACTCACACATGCACACAAGCTCTACCTTACTATCTCTGCCACCATGCTCAGCAAAGTACTTGATCTTCACTGGAAGACAAAAACTTCCCCAATTTGTTGTTGCTGTATATTTTTTAAATTTAAATTATCAGTTGACTGATAATGTTTCAGGTTCATGGCAAAGTATGTAAATATATAATCCTTCTTATTTACATTTTATTTACTTTCAAATGAATATATACATTCTTTTTCAGTTCCTTTTCCATTATAAGTTATTACAAGGTACTGAATATAGCTCCCTGTGCTATATAGTAGGTCCTTGTTGCTTATCTATTTTATATAATGTGGTACGTATCTGTTAATCCCAAATTCCTAATTAAACCCTCCTCCTTTCCCCTTTGGTAACCGTAAGTTTGTTTTCTGAGTCTGTTTCTGTTTTATAAATAAAATTCATTTGTATCATGTTTTTAGAATTCACATATTGATATCATACGGTATTTGTCATTCTCCTGACTTACTTAAGTGTAATATCTGCTGCTGAAAATGGCGCTGTTTCATTCTTTTTATGGCTAAGTAATATTCCATTACACGCGTGCATGTGCGCGCACACACACACACACTCCCCCCCCCCATTTTCTTTATCCATCTGTCAGTGGACATTTAAGTTGCTTCCATATCTTGATAATTGTACACAGTGCTGCCATGAACACTGGGGTGCATCTGTCTTTTTGAATTTGAGTTTTCTCCAGATATATGCTAAGGGATGGGACTGCTGGATGATATGGTACCTCTGTTTTTAGTTTTTTAAGGAAGCTCCCTAGTGTTCTCCATAGTAGCTGCACCAATTCACATTCCCACCAACAGTGTAGGAGGGTTCTCAAGACCATCCCCAATCTTTCTGAA